AAGAACGTATTTACAAAGGGAATATTAACTAATGTAATGTATCTTCTACAATGGACAGAGGGGAATGATGACACGGAGTTCCCACCGATGATTGAACTCAAGTTCTGATTCCAGTTGGGTTCTTTATATTCACTTACGCTCACCCACCCTTGGAAATGGTGGTAGGCTGAACATAATTTTATATTACGGAAGTACTACTGAAATTCACCCCATACACAATTAATTGACATACATTAGGCAAGCATAAGATTATAAAAATTCATCTATATTAGAGACATATTGGTTAGCTATTAAAATCTATTTGGTTTTTATACAGGTGACTTTTAAAAAGTCTAAATACGGTGGATAAGTTGAAATCGAATCTAACCGTAGGTCTAAATAACTATCAATAGATAAATAAATTAATGTTTTGATGGGGTAAGCTGAATTCGTTTGAGATAGTTTCAAATCATTTTCAAGCTATTTTCGTAGTGGTAATTTGATATCGATTTTATCCTATCTTCCGATAATCTCAACATGATTTTACGCTACCGTTGCGTAAAATGAAACAGTGGTAATCGAAAATCGTTACACTGGTAAGAATTATGTAACTGTTAAATCATAATACGGACTACAATTACTACTCTTATTGGTGTTTATTCCGTCTAGCTTATTACGTTTCTAAGCCAAATGTGAAGGAAATTAGGATATGGATCAATCTTCCAACTGAGGATTCTTTTTCTTGCTTGAAAATCTGTATTAAAAATCTTGACTTTGAATTGGGCGTTCGAGCCACTGACTCCGGTGAGAAATACGTTAACAAAGTATAATTTTTTTTTTGTTCCCCCCGCCCAAAAGGTATTTATTAAAATGAGTTTAGTCCGAAACACGATGGAATACAAAGAAATAAGAAAAAGAAGATTGTGTTACTAATGAAAAGTTCAAAATCCTGATTTTTGTTTGAGTTCGAACTTTGACCACAGACACAAGTAGGGAAGTATATAAGAAAATGATACAGCAGTCATAGGTGACATTCCGTGACTTAATAGCACACAAGTGAGTCTCACAGATTTTACTATTTTTTTATTTACTCACCCCCCCCCCCACACACACACGAGGTCATGTTGTGACAGAAGGTCGGTTTAATGTGGGGAGCCCGAGCGCGTACACCCGGGATAGAAACAAAAATTGTCCGCAGCCCTCGCAACTGTCACTTGCACTGGCCTCGGTGCAAGCACCGATCTCTCTCTCTGGTGCAATGAGAGGGCACGGCCTCGAGCATCTGTTCCCCAGAGCTGGGCACCTCTTAGTATAATTTTGCTCATTTGCGACTCTGTCCTTTGACGGGGCCACCCCTGTGCGCACTCTACCCAAAGACAGAGACGCAACTGAGAGATGTTAAATAGATTGTTACAAACTACTCAAAAGAGTAATTTACACACCAAGATTTACATTCACAGATCCTACTATTGTTAGTTGTATCTTCACTAGGTGCCTTACACATATAGTCATGTGTTAGACAATGCTTAGCTAAGAAAAAAAAACCTGTAGTCACAAGTTTCAAAAAGTATATTTTTACTCTATAGCTGAATGTAACCATTAATTTTATCTCTTTTTTCATCGGTTTCCTATGAAGATGCCATAAATTTAAAAGGACGCACACGCGCATGCGTGCGCGCACGCGCATGAGTGTGTGTGGAAATTTGTCGTCATTTCATCAACTGACAACCTTTCCGGATTTCTTCTTGGAAAGTGGAGTCAGTAGAAGGCAGAGTAAAAGCATAAGCAGTGGAAGTTGGTATGAATGAAAAGACCTACGCGACTGAGAGAACGACTTCACAACTTTGCAACGTAGTACTGGCGATAAACTTTCAGCTGCGGTAATCAGGCCGACTTTCTAAAGCAGCAGAAAATTTAACTGGTTACAAACTAAAACTTTCTCAGTGTCTCTTACGTCATTCAAAAAGAAATAGAAAGAGAGAGAAAAAAAAAGCAGTCAGTAAAATTAAATAAATAAAAACGAGTTGAAACTATCGACGTTGTTTGTGTCTGTTTAAGTACACATGTCCGACCAAATGACGTGCGCGCGTGATGGCTGTGTGAGACTAAGATACGAGTTTTATTTAACTAAAATACTCATTTGATCAGAGATAACGTCATCAAGTAGATTTATGGAAACTAAGTACAAGGGCAGTCATTCCGTGTTCATATGTATGTAGAGGAATTTACTTCTTTTGCCTGATTTGAAAAAATTTTTTAAAAATCCACCTTTATTGTTTGTTTTGTATTTTATGAGTTATAAATGCAGGTGCAGGCGAACTAACGTAAAATAAAATGGAATAGAGGAGCCGGGTTCAAATTCTGAGTGAGAGAATGAGTGTTCATTTCACGCTAATATCTTTCAGAAAGATATGAATCCATGACTTCTGTCTCATTCAGATATGGATTAAATTAAATAGAAGAATTCTGGGTGTAGGATTAAATGAGGCGTGGTATAGTGTTTCAATTTAGAGTAAATGATCACATGTAGATCTCAATATATGCAGACATTTAAAAATAAACATAGTACTAGAGGTAAAGTGCTGCATCTTTCTTACCCTAACAATCATTCTCTAATCAAACGGTATTAAATCCTGTCCATCTCCCGTGGCTTTCCACAATATTACTATATCCAGTATATCCCACATATGTCATGTAGCTGTGTTTAATTCTATAGTGGGAGAAAAGGGAAAATAATATATTGTATTTTCTCATATCAGTATATATATATATGTGTGTGTTTTAAGACATTTTTATGCTTATACATTCTTTTTATAGATACAAATATTTAAGTAAATGCTCTGTTTTATAATAAACAGTATTAATAACATTTATCGGCCTGAATATCCGAGAAATTTTCATAGAAAATACTCGTTCTCCGACAGGAATCGAACCTGTATCCTATCCGGAACCGTCATATAGCCTGACGTGCCTTAACCGATTGAGCCTCCGAGAACCGTTCGATTGGCAAGGTCGATTTTACTGCTTTTAAACTTCAATCTTCCATGAATCTCTCACGTACATTCATATTTGCTCAAAGCGTATCCAAATGTAAACAAATGACGTCACACATTATGAAATGGACAAAGTCCGACAATTATTTTAAGACATTTTTATGTTTATATATATATGTGTGTGTGTGTGTGCGTGTGTCAGTGCTCTCTCTTTCTTTTTCTTTCTCTCTGTCTTTCTTTTACACCCTTTCTGTAACTATCAATCTCTCTCTCTCTCTCTCTCTCTCTCTCTATATATATATATATATATATATATATATATATATATATATATATATATATATATATGTATGTATGTGTGTATATATATATATATATATATATATATATATATAGTGGGTGTATCAAAATACTTTTTACAAATTTTGGTGGCGGGTTTCCCACAACAAAATACAAAATGTCCGGATAAACATATGTCCAAAGGTGATCGTTGTACCTTAACACAGCAACTCATAACCACACGTATGAACACGTCGGATCATTGACTAGCAGTCCCTTTCACAAAAATATTTTGAAATATTAAAGAGTAAATCTATTCAATAAAATCGCCATTGGCTTCAACTACAGCCTCCAAACGACTTCGAAATCTCCTGCAACTCTTCTCACGATCTCCTTGTTTAAGTTGGCAAATGTTGCCATAATCCTGGCCTTCAGTTCATGTTTGGTGTTACAAGGAGTTTTGTTGGTCTCTCGCTCAACTGTGCCCCCCCCCACATAATAATCAAGGGTTTTGCAGTTTGGGGAGTTAGGTGGTCAGAAGTAAGGGATGATGTGGTCGCAGAAATTGTCTGACAGCCACGACTAGGTTCTCCTTCTTGTATGGCATAGTGCAGAGTCATGTTACCATACATAGGGTCTTCTTGCAGTCACACTCTCAATCCAGGGTAGAACTACCACCTCAAGGTACTTGATGAAGGCCTCCGTATTGAGTCGTAGGCCCTCCCCAACAAATTCGGGACTTCTTTTCTTATTAGAACAATCAAAATAAGTTTCTCAGCTGCCGTACCTTCGTAAACACCATTAAACTCTTTCCGAATCCTCTACCCTCTCCTCAGATTAACACCCAAACACTCTGAAATGTTCTTATTGGAACTTCCGGCACGAATGCCAAGCAGTACATCATGCCGTTTCCAAATTTCTGGCCGAGTGAATTATGTCATAGCGCACTTTTTCTCACAGACGTTGCCCAACTGACCTTACTATACTGTGCATCGACAAAATCCAAAACAAACAATGCGCATGCGCAAAATTAAAAATGTAAAATGGCGATAATTTACCCATCGCATCCTGTACATCAATAAATCTGCACGGTCATAATGGAAAATTATTTGTACAAAAATATTTATTTTTCAACACAATCTCTTTCCTTTTCAATACACATAATTTAGTGTTGAACATTAATCACAATGATGAAACTATGCCGTGAACATTTCACATCAAAATTCATCTGGCAGGGTCCGAACTCGTACACCTTTGTATGGACTCAACTCACCACACATAAATATAAATATTTTTTATCGTCATTTTGGGTTTTAGAAAGGCGGTGGCTAATTGAACTCACCCTTTGCCATTAATTTCTGGTGGGCTTAAAAGGTCGCCCCTTAATTAAACTGGATTGATTGATTACAAATGATGTCAATCAGGGTTACTTCAGCGTTTCATCGTCCCTTAATGTCCGTAGTAAGTGAAAGATCTTTGTAAGAAATGTTTGTAGATAATAATGATTTACTGATACAAGTCCTACTAATTAAACTTTTTTTTTATTCTTCACGTGGAAAAGTTACAATACATGACATCAGTTAACATTGTTTTCTTTTTGTTTTTGAGAAATACAATTGATTGATGGGGGGAGAAGACCTGACTTCATACCATTTCCAAGGGTGGGTGAGCGTAAAGGAATATAACGAACAAGACTGGAGTCAGAACTTGGTTTTCCGTTATCCATTTCATCACCCGAAAATTCAAGGTTACCGCACCTGGCATTCCCAAGCAGTCACTCATCTAGGCACTGATCAAGCTCGACGTTGCTTAACTTCGGTGACCGTACGAGAGTATGTGTTTCAACGTGATATGGTTGTAAGCCTCCATTTGTGTGTGATCTGCCATTGATGGTAACGTTGGACAAGATTTTCCTTAATTCCAGTTTGTTATAGAGCATATCTAATCCACCCTTTCCTCAAGATTATAACATTTGGCTTTTGTAAAAATGTTCAGATGTCGCTTGTGACATTTTTTCTAAGTTCTGACAGATTTATCTACATTTCATGTACAGTGTTCAGTTTCAGAGAATTACATTTTGCACATCATTTTGTATGTGATTTATGCTAATTTGGTTTGTATTTGATGCTAACATTATAGTTTTCTTTTATTAGATTTTTTATTAATCTCTTCCGGAAATCATTCTTCGTAAGATATCAAAAGATACATAAATTGAATTTTTCCTCATTTTCTGCTCAAAGCCAATTTTTAAATAGTTGGGTTTTTTTCAATTAAGAATTAACAAAAGCCGCTTGGGAATCATTGCACATCATACAAACATTCGAAAAGCCAGAAATGGTAATGAAATGGTAATGAAATGGTAATGAAATGGTATTATTAGCCGTTTACCTATAAGGAAACATTCGGTATTCAGTGTTGATTTCTGTTGAAATTTATAAAATCTTTCTCTTAAAACAAAATTTTAGGAAAATAGGTTTCTCCAATCCAATATATATATATTTTTCTTTCCAGTATTGATTGGGGGAGTCCTTCCTAACCTTTTGTTTGAAGTGACGCGGAATGTTAACATCTTAATTATGTCATTATTTTCTCTTCGAGTTATAGGTTAAAAGACCCTCAGCATTTACTCGCTCAAAGCGGTTGTATACAGATGGGAGTTCAGATATTTTGGTGCCATGCATGGTATCCATTTGAAGGTCTTGATCTAACGAAGCTAGGTTGATTTGTTTTTACTACCTATCTTGAAATGAGTCTTGTTTCGGCTAAGAGATGTCAGGAAAGGAATTTGGGGTTGCTTGGCAACAAAGAGAATGACCTCCTAAAAATAGTAGGAAATGAATTCAGGGTTCCTTGGCAACAAACCAAATGGCCTCCTAAGAAAGTGAATAAGAATCAGTCATCTAGGCTTTTTTTTTTACCTGAGTTTCATACCCTTATGCGTTGCGCTTTCGTAACTGCACAGATACCGAATTGTGAAATGATGCCATCAGGAGCTCATTGATAAAAATTAGGAACAGCATATGTGACCAAGGATAGAACCCTGGAAACACCTTCATTACTGCAGAAAGATCTAAAAAAAAGTGGCTGTTCAGAACAACCTTCATTTCGAGATTTCATAAGACCGAATTAGAAAATTCGTTCAGTAATACAATAACCTTTCAACTTGTGAAGAAGACCAGTATGCCAAACCCTGTCAAATGCTTTCGGGATGTATTAAACAACGGCCTAAGCTTCACCACTCTTAATCGTTGTGATATGCTTCACCAATTCAGAGTTGATGAGGGCCTCAAGTACTTAACCAAAAAAAGGTCAAAGTCTAATAGGTCGATAGTTGGAAGGATTAGACGGTTCACCTCATTTCGTACAGACTGGAGCTAGAAGATTTCCAACAAGCCGGAATGCAAGAATAAATTTAAATATAAGTGTATGGTATAAATGGCGTTATGTGTAGAACGGTTTCACAGAGTTTGACAGCATAGATGAATATTTAATAGGTATTTTATTTTATACGAAATTTAGGGCTACAAAATTATCTACCCTTCACGAGTATGAAATGCGACAGTCCGGCGCAAGGGGTGAAATGTAGGTCTCCTTACCACATGTACCCATCCTTCAGAGCAATAGCCCGTGTATTTCCATACCTTCATTTTCTCGCACCGTTCATAGCCAAAGCTATACTATAGACTCAAAGTATAAACACGTCAACTCATCTTAATTTGCCGTCCTGGGTATGGCGATAAACTGCATCCTCGTCCTGGCTAAGACGATAAACTACGTCCAACAGCAAGGCATCTGATCAGGAGGTTTTGAGGAACGTGAAATCACCTCTTAATTGCTAGTGTTTTCAAGTCCACCCTGACCCGGGGTGGTAGCACCTGTTAGGGTCCCAGCTATGGGCAAATAGTTAACCCCGAAACTGAGGTAAAAAGCATTATAAAATATTACCAGCAATACGTTTTCGAAGAAAAAATCTATCGCCAGCATTACGTTTTTGAAAAAAATAATATTACCACCTATACGTTTTTAAAAAAAAATATTACCAACTACACGTTTTTTGAAAAAATAATATTACCAACTATACGTTTTTTGAAAAAATAATATTACCAGCTATACATTATTGAGGAAAAAAATATTAACAGAAGTAGAACAAAAATTTAACAGAAATTTTTGACAAAACAAAAATATTACCAGGAAAAAATAGTTGTTGGCATTAAATGACCCATTGAGGTTGATATTCCGTAAAACAAAACAAAAACAAACAAATCACCTTAATTTTGCGTCTCTTTTTCATATCTTCTAATGTGTATCGTTTCAATAACAGACTATTGTAGCATTCAAATTCTGTAAATATGTAAATGGCGGCCCTTTTGTTAAAGATATATCCTTTACTACCTCGCGATTCTTGCAATTCCTTTCTGAGTCGGCCATCAACAGAGTGTCATCTGCATATCTTATATTTTTAATATTGTCTCCGCAGATTATAAATACTGGTAGGTTTTTCTAGTTTCCTTAGGGTCATCTCGCTGTATAGGTTCAATAAATCATGAGAAGATGCATGACTGTTTTATTCGTTTTCTATTCGCATGCAAGAATTTTGTATCCCCTATGAATGTTACAGATTATTTTAATATCTTTCCCGCCTCGAAAAGGACCTCCAATCGATTGTGAACTGGGGCATGATTTGGCTGGTCAATTTCAACGCTTCGAAGACTAAACTGCTCTCTATTAATCACCACAGAGAGCCATCCCTTCCCTCCATTATAATGTCTGACGCTCAACTTCCCGAGAGCAACTCTCTGCGGCTTCTCGGTCTCACGTTGACTGCTGACCTGAGATGGAATAAATACATCGAGTCAATTGCCTCGTCCACTGCGAGGAAAGTTGGCTCCCTGAGCCGTGCTAGGAAGTTTTTCTCCCCTGAGTCGATCCTCCAGATATACAAATCCACAATTCGCCCTTGCATGGAGTACTGCTGCCATATATGGTCTGGCGCCCCTTCTGTTTGCCTCGGGGTTCTTGATAGGCTCCAGAGGCGGATATGTAATATGGTTGGCCCTACCTGGCGTCTCGTCTACAGTCACTTTCTCACAGACGCACCGTCGCCTCCCTCTGTCTGTTCTACAAATACTTTCATGGAAATTGCTCCGAGGAACTGCATTCGCTGGTTCCCAAACTTTATGAGTTCAAGCGCCCTACGAGGCTGGCATCCCGCTCTCACCCCTTCACTGTCGAAACTCATAAATGTAGCCGTCTCTTCTACTCTAATAGCTTCATGTCTCGCACCTCTCGCCTGTGGAACTCTCTTCCCTTCTCCTGTTTCCCTGAGAGTTATAATCTCCAGCTATTCAAGTGTAATGTCAATCGACATCTCCAGTTGCCTTAATCTATCTACTACCCTCATCCTTTCTTCTATCACTCCTATCTGATCTTCCCTATTTCTGTAACCCCTTGCGTCCTAGTGGCTCCCCCGCTTGCTTGGGGTGAAATGCTTAAAAAAAAAAAAAAAAAAAAATAACACAAGTTTTCCTAGTAGTTCAAATAAATCTGGAAACAATCTTGGGTTTCATTTTTCTGAATGCCTGAAAGTCAGTGATGTCAGCAAATATTTGTCCTTTCAGGTCATTTTTCAATTTTAGTAATAGCCAGAGTTTCACAGGGAGCTAATTCTGGTGAATCAGATGGAGAGTCCATTTTTGTTAGCGATTTCTTAACCAGGAACTAGCGAAGTCTTAAGGCATCACAAGCAGGCACATTGTCATGGTGGATAATCCATTTTTTAGACCAGAGTTTGGGTCTTTTATTCTGAACAGATTCTCGTAAAACCTTCAGTACTTCCAAATAAACATGTTGACATAGTTAAATAAGACATCTTAGTACAAAGACTAACTTATTCAAAAACCTATTGAAAAAAATAGTTCCATCACCGCTAATGATCCTGTCAATTATTTCTGCATTATTCAAAATATCACATGAAGCCGAAATTGTTTCCGTAATGGTTCGAGGTAACATCCTTGAGGAAATTTTCTTTTAGAATTTGCTAAACTGTTTCCCTATTCATATATACACGTAATCTTAGATATGAGTACACCAAGGCACTCACTGTGTCCACATCTACTTTTTGTTTTTGGTTGCCCACTTCTTAAGTCATTGTTTACATTTTATAGATTTCCCTTAAATCGCCCGAGTTACGGAAAAATACTCGATGTTTTCATAGAATGTTCACAATAAGCCACGTTTAATAGGGACAGCGTTTTACTAGCATGTTTAAATTTTTTTATACAAAACTTAATGTTAATCCACTGCTCCAGATTCCATTCACACATCTTCTACCAGCAGTATAACATGAACACCTACATCTTCCACTAGTACTTATTAACGTCTTACTAATCTGGTCTGATTCTAAAGAAAGCGAAAATTGGAACATGTCAGCCGGGCGTGCTCGGGTACAAATATTTGCATGGCCCAGCAACACGCAGCGGTTATTCAAGGAATTAGACTGCCATGACGCGTACAGGAAAAACTTGAAAAGTAAGATCATATCGCTTGAATTGGGGCAATGGGTATTTGCTGCTTAAATAAACATTATATAGTTGAATCCATTACATTCACTTACGTGCTAATACTCTTGGGAAAGGTGTGAATCCTGTTCTTCTCCCTCCAGCTATGGATAAATAGCAGGACAGACTAGGTTCTATAGCCTTGGATGGCAACTGGTCTAGGAGAAGGACAATTCTAAATTGAAAACCTGCAGAGTGTCGTTTGGGGACCTTGTGGCACGTAGTGCACCAGGTCTCTGTATTCGGCCCTTCAAAAAGTGTGGATGGTCCTGCACGAAACCTTCACTACTATAATCAAATCTC